GTGGTAGTAGGAGTAGGGGTAAATGAATTTATTTCATTTGATTTCAAGTTTTTTGTTCATTTAGGTTTACAAAAATGAATTGATATTTTTTTATAAAATGTTAACCCTATGACACCCGAGCACCCAATAAACATTTGCATATGTTGTTGCTAATCCGAATTTAGTCAAAATTTCCCAGCATATGTAGTCTGACCAGTATATAATCGTGAGAAGTTTCAGCGATACAAAACTGACGATCTAAGAGTTCAGAAGTTGACATTGGAAACCCATAGCTTAGCCTAGGTCTGGACTAAGCAATCTAAAGGGTTTGAAACTTTAGTCGATTAGTGTCTAATCCAGAGCAGTTTTTGCGGATCAAGTTTACCGATCCAAGCGTAAGGAAGTAGACATTGAAAGACCAGGGGTTTTAAAATTTAGTCGTCTTCTACATGTTTGGGCGCCACATATACGGGGCGAAATGAAAAAAAAAATGCAACCAACTTCTGACTGCTATAATTTCCAAACCACTCGTCCGACAGCTGTTAAAATTAATCCAGTGACAGTTCATTATATTGTTTACAAGCGTACAAAAGCATTTTGGTGAGAATTTTCCAGAAAAAAGTTATTCGTGATGGAATTCAAGCGGGATAGTGTGATTTCCTTATATTTGGCTGGAAAACCAAAAGTGGCGATGACGATAGAGCACTTCAGCATTCAAATGTGCATAAATCTTTTGTGTCCCGTAGCATCCCTCGTTACCGTGATACTGGTAGCGTAGACCAACATCAAAGAAGTGGACGGAAGAAAACAGCAACATCAGCAGAAATGGATCGAAAAGTAAAGAAGCGACTTAATAGAAACCCGCGTCGCAGTGGCCAAAAAATGGCTCGTGAACTGAATATGTCGCAATATTCCTTTCGGCAAATATTGAAAAATGAGCTCGGAATTCCGCTTACACCGGCTTCGCTTAGCCGAAAGTGGTGAACTGCCGAATTTGTTTTTTTTTTTCGATGAGAAAACATTCGTTGTCCAGCAGTTTGTAAACAAACAAAATGATCGTGTTTACTTGCCAAAGAGGTCAGCTGAGAATATGCACCTTCTGTTGGCCACCAGAACTAAAGCTCCGGCCATGGTGTGGGCCGCCATAACAACCGATGGTCACTCTCCGCTCGTATTTATCCAATAAATGGCGAATATTATAGCGAAAATATTCTAGAGGGTGTATTAAAGCCTTGGGCACGCATACATTTTGCCCGCAGACCTTGGACATTCCAGCAGGACTCAACACCATCGCACTCAGCATGCGCCACTCAAGAATGGTTACAAGCAAGCGCTTCGCCGGGAATGGTCCAAAATACCGCAGAGTAACATTCGGGCAGCGTGTGACGGTTTCATTGGCCGTTTGAAGGCCATAATTCGTTCCAAAGGTGACCAATTCGATCAAATCTAAAGTTATTCTAAAATTTGATGCTATTTTCGGCATTTTTTGCTTTCATTCAGAAATTAAAAAAAAAAAGTAAAAAATATGGCGTTTGATTTTGTTGCTGCTTTTTTATTTCACCCTGTATGTATTTGTATCTAATAACAGTTCAATATAAGTCCCAGTGGTTGTTATTGTTTCAATGTTCTCAAATTCCATATTGATCGTATAAAAATTTAACCACTTTACTTGTATATTGAAATCACCCCTTCGATACTCCTTAAAAAAACTGCTGACCTTTATTGAAAATTTACCGTTTTCTTAATTTTGGTTTTTTTTAATTTTTAATATTTATTGTGGCATCATCGCCCTCAATCAACAGCAACGCCACAATAGGCTAACGCCTGTACTACCACATTTCCCAGCCCAGCATTGAGTTCTTTAAAATCATCAGCCTTATCGTTCGTCGTTGTATCCATCAAGTGGTTGGTTGGCTGGTTGGGCTCAGTTGGGTATTAGCACATAGCGCAACAGTGGCCACAATAAGGCGGTCAAGTAGGCGGAGCGGTTTGATGTGAGACTAAATTGGAATTTTTTTTCGTTCGTTCGTTCATCCCACTAAACAGAGGATGTAAACGCTGTTGTCGAGTAAATTTATATATATGTGGACTGCTGGCGAACGCGGAGTCCCCATAAAAAACGGAGTTGAAAATAAGGCTACAACATAAAAAATTACCAACTTTTAGAAAGCAATTAGCGTCTTTTGATGATTTTTTCAAGCAAAAGTAAGTCGAGGGCAACCGACGAAGAATGAAATGAAAATCGAAAACAAAAATAATAACACAAAACATTTACGAAAAAATAATAAAAAAAAAACTCATCAGTTATTTCTTTTTGGCCTCATATAACAGAGGAACATTATCAAAGCCAATCCTTTTTTGAGATGGATTGAGAGAGAGCGAAAAAAAAATATTTTTTTTTTTTGAAGAGTCATATAAATGGCTTGCATGAAGGTGGGGGTGAAGTAATGCAAAACAAAAACACGAACACTCACACATAACCTCTGCATCAAGAACAATCAACGGCAGCCAGCCGACAACATCGAGCTGCCAAAACGTTTTTTGATCTTTAAGTTTTGTTTGCTTCTTTGCCGTTTTGTTTTTGTTTGGGCCACACTCACTAAACACTTAAGCTCAGACGCACGCAATATTTTTTTCTTGGAGATTTTTTCTTTATTTTTGCTTTATGATTTGTTGATGGTTTTTTTTTTTTTTTTTTTTTTTGGTGAAGTTTTCAATTTGTCTTCTTCGTTTTGGCTGTTTGCATAAAATTCACACATACTACCTACAAACATTTCAAATGAATACCAATTTAAAAACTTGACGTTTTCTTGTGTGTCGGGATTTCTGTGTGCGTATTCCATCATCATTCCTGAAAATATGATTTCGTTTGCATTCAGAAGTTGTGTATTCAACAGGATATTGAAAATTTATTAAGATTTATGCATGATTTTTTAAAAGCCATTAAACAGTGCCCTTCATATGTTAACAACTTGGAAGTGAATGGCAATGGAAAATATTTACACAAAGGTATACAAGTTTTGCAGGTATATCCTTTGAAACGTTTGACATTTCAAAACAAAATTTATAATTGATAGAGTTAACGGAGGGAGTAAATAGAAATGTTGTTCGGGTATTCACAAGTCGATTTTCTTAGCCAAAACCGATTTTTGTCATCACAGATTTCACAGATTTAAATTTTATTAACCATGGAGGGTATATTAATTCTATCGTATCGTTTGTAACTCCTCGAAATACTCATGTTAAACCCAACAAATACTTATGTTAGACCCAAAATCATTATAGCGATTTCTGTATGTCTGTTACAATAAAGCCTTCTTTCGAACAAATTGAGATAGAAAGGGTAAAATTTTGCACACATGTGGATTTTGTCAGTTGGCAAGTTAGGTTTGAAAATATGCTATGTCGGCCCACGTTTTCGTACAGAGCCCATTGAACTCAATCTCACAATATTCGGTATTTTGACAATTTATATCACATTTTCTAACTTTATTGTTTAAAATTCGGTATAAATATTTATATAACTCCTGAGATGGGGCTTTGTCTATATACAGGGTGAGATGAAAAAACTGCAACCAAATTCAGACTAGCGTCATTTCTAAGCCAGAGATGAAAAAACTGCAACCAATTTCAAACTGCAGTCATTTTTAAGCCACTTGTCCGACAGCTGTTAAAATTATTCCAGTGACAGCTCATTATATTGTTTACAACTCTACAAAAGCATATTAGTGAGAATTTTCCAGAAACAAAGTTATTCGTAATGGAATTCAAGCGTGATCTTTATATTTTGCTGGTAAACCATAAGTGGCAATCGTCAGGGCACTCCAGCATATAAATGTGAATGAATCTTTTGTGTCTTGTACCATCGCTCGTTACGGTGATACTGGTAGCGTAGCCCGGCGTCAAGGATGTGGACGGAAGAAAACAGCAACATCCACAGAAATGGGTAGAAAAGTAAAGAATCTCTTCTTTGATCGCAACCCGCGTTGCAGTGGCCGAAAAATGGCTCATGAGCTAAACATATCGCAATATTCAATTCGGCAAATATTGAAAAATGAGCTCGGGGTAAAGCCATTGAAATTCCAAAAAGTGCAAGAGCTTACACCGCAACAGAAAGAAAATAGACTCAGAAGAGCTAAAGAGTTTCTTTGGTTAGTCGAAAGTGGTGAACTGCCGAATTTGGTTTTTTCTGATGAGAAAACGTTCGCTGTCCAGCAGTTGTAAACAAACAAAATTATGGTTTTTACTTGCCAAAGAGGTCAGCTAAAAATGTGCACCTTCGGTTGGCCACCAGAACTCAAGCGACGGCCCTGGTGATGGTATGGGCCGCCATAACATCCAATTATCGCTCTCCGCTCGTATTAACCGACCGTGGCATCAGAGCCTTGGGCACGCAAACATTTTGGCCGCAGACCTTGGACATTCCAACAGAACTCAGCACGCGCCACCCGAGAATGGTTACAAAATGAGGTTCCTCGCTTCATTTCCAGCGCAAAATGGCCACAAAAATCTCCGGATACCAATCCGTAAGACTATTGTGCACTAAAAAATGCCGAAGTGTCGATCACCTCAAGCAAGCGTTTCGCCGGGAATGGGCCAAAATGCCCCAGAGCAACATTAAAGCAGAGTGTGACGGTTTCATTGGTCGTTTGAAGGCCATAATTCGTGCCAAAGGTGACCGATTCGAACAAATCTAAACTTATTCTAAAATTTGATGCTATTTCCGACATTTTTTGCTTTCATTCAATAAAAAGTAAAAATTATGGCGTTTGACATTGTTTCAGTTTTTTTTTATCTCACCCTGTATATACTTTGTTGGGTCTAAAATTATTATTTCGATCAGTTACAAAGGGAATGGCTAACTTAATATATCCTCCCCTACTATAAGTGGTGAAAGGTATAAAAACCGAAGCAAGCATACAATTCTCGTTATTGGCGGCATTGTCTAAATATATTCCCATAGAGTTTAAATTTAAGTTTTCATAAACCATTTTTAAGATTTAAGGGCGGAATTTACTTACTTGTCTTTTCCTGATAGTACGGATCATCGGTGTCTGTAAAGAACCACGTCTGAAATGGAAAACAAAAAAAAACACCGAAGTTAATATCACATATCAAGTAATTTCAATATTTTTTTATGGATATTACAATGGACTAAGATTCAATTAACATTAAAGCTGACATCATTTGCTTTCTTGCAAAGCATTGCAGAAAAAGCTGCTGCAGCTACTAAACTCAATCGATTAAACTCCAGAGCAAAATAGCAAAACAAAACGACAATTTTTTATTGCCCGCCAGCAATCACAGCAGGCAAAGAATGAACAATCCAACTAATCTATACCCGCTCGACCACTTCAATTACATTATATATCCATATACATATGTATATTGAGATATATACATATATATTTAGAGTTGTAAAAATCATATTCTGTGCGCCATATAAACTGGGTCATTTTAATTGCAAACATTAAGTGCAAGACTGACAAACGGAACGGAAAAACGTTAATTAATCATAAACGAGTTTAATGGCTTTATTTCTTGATGTCGTTGTTGTTGCTGTTGTCATTGTATCGACGTGTTGGTTTTGAGCGACAAAAAAAAACGCTGAATGTTCAATTTTAAGATTGAGAACAAAAAAAAAAAGACCAGCATTGCATAGATAGATAGTTCACCATGACTAGATGGATAGGAATCTGAATGTATAACACAATGAAATATAAAGGTGTGTATATGGTGCACAAACACACTCACATACACAGAGAGAGGTGCAGGCAACTGGTGAAACTGGATAGTGAAACAACTTTTTCTATTTGCAATTTTTCAATTTTTGCATTATTGCCATTGCTACCATTTATTATACCCTACAACACTATGTGTTGGGGTATTATAAGTTTGATTGGGCCAAAAATTATGTAACACCTCGAAATATTGGTTTCCCACATAGGAAAGTATATATGGATCATCCTAGCTCGCCGAGCTGAGTCGATCTAGCTATGTATGTCCGTCCGTCCGTCCGTCCGTCTGTCCGTCTGTCCATGTTAATTTGTAATCACTCTACAGGTCGCAATTATGGCCCGATCTTCACGAAATTTGGAATGGAGGTCGGGGTTGGGCCAGAATAGAACCCTATTTCTTTTTGAGATGATCGCCAAATGTTTAGGGGTTGAAATGGACCAAATACTGAAAAAATGTCGGATTTTGCAGTAGCTATACTGGTCGCAATTATGGACCAATCGACGCGGAATTTCGCATGTATCTAGAGTTTAGGACGGGGAAGAAGCCTACCAATTTGGGTGGTCATCGGATAATATTTAGCGGGTAAAATAGGCCATATATTTTGGGTTGAAAAAATTCAACATTTTTCATTAAACTGCGAATATTTTAAATCCCGGCGAAATCACAAAGCCACGACAAGGTTACTTCTGACCTTTACATTGATGTTAACATCCAACAAATCGGATATATAGCAAAATATGTTCGATATATATGTCTATCAAAGAAGATATGATTGAAAGATCCCATATATGTCGAGAACGGCTGAACTGATTTCGACAGTTCTCATTAATTCAGAATGGCCTCTTGGCAGGAAAGAAAAAACGTCTAAAAAAATCGCATAAAAATATCTCTCTAAAGATGAAAATATTGATTTTGTAAAATTTTCTCATATTTTTTCAATTTTGTCATATTTTTGGCATATTTTCATTTTGAATTAAACATTTGGTAATATTTCTACAGCTAACAAAACTAAGTAGTTAGGATATCAGGATATCATATACAGATCGCATTTATGGCCCGATCTTACGAAATTTTGCATGGGGATAAGATACGGGTCAGAATAGAAGCCTACTCTTTTTGGAGATGATCGCCATATATTTAGGGGTTGAAATGGACCAAAAAACTGCAAAATTGTCGGCAGGTCGTAATTATCGCCCGATCATCACGCACATTTGAAAGGGGGGCATTGCAAAAGCCAAGCAATTTTGGATGGCCATCCAAAAATATTCAATGTGTGAAATAGTTTGCCAACTTTTGTAGACAAAATACGAAAATGTCCATTCCAGAGACTTTTTCGGGAATTCACAAATACAGGAAAGACGCACTTCTGGCTATTTCGTTAAGGCTGATTTCGTTGAAGAATATAGTCAAATGTGTGTATCTCATATAGATGCGTTTCAGTAAAAAAGCAATAAGAAATGTTAATCTTTTGCCATTTCTGAGAGATTATAGGTCTTTGGGAAATATTGGTTCCAGATCTAGGAAGACCATTTACGTGCAACATCTTCCAATAAAAACTGGAAATGAGCAAATTAGTTTAAGTTGCTATTATTCGGAAATTAGAGAACGAAACCTGATGGTTTTCTTTTATAATTTGTCACAATATCTTGTTGAATTCTTTCGAGTATCTCGCCTATATAAACTGCATCGTTTATTATAGTGTTGTAGGGTATTCAACGGTCGGCACCGCTCGACTGTAGCCTTTGCTTACTTGTTATAAGATATTGTTTTGTTTTCATATTATTTTTCAAGGCGTGTTGCTAAGTTGTTACTTCAATTTTGTCTTTAATGTTGTCAGAATAAGTTTTTTTTTTTTTTTTTTGAAGTGCAAGTCATAATATCATTTAAATAATGGAAAACCAGGGCTGCGGAGACGGGGCTATGGCAAATAGGTGGCGTGTCATGATCCCCACGAATATAATCCCCATTACAATTATATTATATTATTTATTTATTTAATCTTATTTTGTCATAACCTCCGTATTGGAATGGGGATTATGTCTAAAAAAATCGGTTATAATCTCCAGGAACTCAAGGATATAAACCCCCTAATCATGGGGATTACGCCTAAAACGATTGCGGACATAAACCCGATTATGGGATCTGTATTTTTTACTTGATTACGACAAAGTGAATTTCTCTTGGGGGAATACCTTTTTACCCGGTTTTTCGATCCGAAAGTACGGATACAAAAACCGGCTTTTAACCGGTTCCACAAAACTGATGTACAAAATGGGCATCATTTGAAAGAATATGGAAATACCTAAAAACAGCGTAAAATTCTCAGACGATTTATCTGTAGATAGTCCGTCCGTCTGTTGTAATCACGCTAGAGTTGTAACGAACTAAGATAGGAAGCTAAAATTTTGCATATATCAGCCTTTTATCTGCAAGTTCGAGGATGGACAATATCGGTCTACGATATAATATAGCCCCCATATTCTGTATTCTGAAGATTGTAGCCAAATTTTTAAATTGACTTCTCTGAAAATCCACATAAGAAGTTCCTTTTAAGTACTTGACCCCCTGGAAAAGTATTACCTATATAAGTATCGGCACCACCGAATATTCGAAATTTTGATGATTTTAGCTGCATTATTCAACGAAATGAATCTAAATTTCGTGCTTAGAGTTCCCAATGGGTATGCAAAAAAATGCGTATGCAGGGACACGTCTTCGTATTGACCCCATATAACGGTACCATCCAATTTTCGGTATTTTGATGATTTTAGCGACATTATTCACCGGAATTTCATATTTAGGAATTGTAATGCGTACTACAGTTTATGAAAAAAATTGGGTATGCAGGCCTATGTTTTCGAATGGCCCCATATAACGATACCTCCCAATATTCGGAATTTTGATGATTTTAGGGACATTATTCACCGGAATTGTTTCAAATTTCGTATTTAGAGTTCCTATTGGGCCCGTGACATAAAATTATCTATGAAGGTCCAGGTCTTCATATAGCCCATATATAACGGTAACTCCCTATATTAGGTATTTCGATGATTTTGGCTACACTATTCACTGGATTTTTTTTTCAAGTTTCGTATTTGAATATTGTAGTGGCCTACGACAAAAGTTGTATGTGCAAGCTCACGTCTTCGTATATAACGGAGACTTCCTATATTGGTATTTTTAAAACCTTAAAAGGATTTTTAACAGATTTTATTTTTTTTAAATTTCCAATTCCAAATGGTGGAGGGCATTCAAAGCATATCCAAATTAATCTACATCTCTCCATCCTAGAGAACAGTTATAGGTCGCATTTGAAAAACCACCACCAGATCTCAACATCAGATACCTCAATATCTTGGGCATTCCAGCTCTATTCCTTAACCCAATACAAAAGTTTGTATCACTTAGGACTTTACAACTATAGTACACATTTCCAAGACCACCACTAGACCTAAAAGTCTGATACTAAAAAATCCTCAATATAAAAATTTTCGAATTCTAACTCTATCTCTTCACCGAATACCCAATATATTACCACCAAGGATTTTTCGAACATATAAAATAAATGTATAAATGTGTACTAATATTTCGGAATTCCAGCTATGTGGATTCTCATAAATGCAAATCGTACAAAAAGTAAGTACGACTTCACAAGGCTTCCGACATACCCCAATACTATGCCCAAATGTCCAAAACTACTTTCGTACCTCAATCATAAAATCATAAAGAAATCTCGTTAAGCAATTTCAGGACTCCAACTCTATCGGTTCTCCCAAAATATAAATTATACGAAATTTAGTACCATTTACTACACATAAGTACGAATTTCCAAAACTACCTACTTTTCTCAGTCATAGAATGCAATAGTAACGTTCTTTCTAAATTTCAAAATTCCAACTCTTTTTGTACACATAAGTGCAAACATCCAAAACTTCCTCCATATCCCAATCCTACACTCCGCCAGTAATGTTAATATCAAGTTTTCTCCAACTTCAAATTGTACTAAATTTAGTACCGTTAGTACTTTTCGTATACATGATATACATGACTTCCATAACTACCTCCTTGCATTGACTCTACTCCTCAACCGTGATGGCCATTCCAAAAATCAAGTTTTTAGCTTTAACCGTTCACATGCTACGAGATGGTGCCAAATGTAGTACATTTCAGTACTTTTAGTACACTTTTAGTGAGAATTTCAAGTAAACCTTTGGTACAACTATTATACACTTCGTCAGTGATTCTTATTCCAAATTTAAGAGTTATAGCTCTACTGCTTCCTCAAGTACAAGGGGTACCATATTCAGTACCTGTTAATACTTTTCATACTG